GGGGGGGGGTACAGGAGGCGAGTAGCAGGAGGTGCACTCAAATCAAACGGCCAACGGTTTGCAAGAGTTTTGCGAAGCTCAGCATGGAATGCATCGCACCCCCGTTGGCAACCATGCATGGCCCGAAGGGGTCCACTTTGCCGACGGCACGTGGCTTCTCAAGGGGTCGCAGCCCGATAAGGAGTTCAAGAGCAACAACTGCCCGTTCCTGGTTGAGGTCCAATTCGGCCACCTGAAGTGTAGAGGCATCCCTCTGCCCCTGGACAACACCCCTGCCGTCCGCCAGGAGCTGGTGGAGAACCTCAACATCATGGCCACGCAGCGGAAAGAACTGGCAGATGATCTGGAGGGCATGACCTTATCGGGCCTGAGGAAGGGCATAGTAGAGGCGCTAGTGAGGGAGGAGGACTGCATCGTGACGCAGGAGATCACAGATCTGGAGCATCCGGCGTATTCAGAGGTATACAGACACATGGTGGATGCACCTCACTGCATTGCAAGTGCATCCCTCACGGCAATGTGTTTGTGTGCCCTCCACAGGACGTGCCGACCTACATGGCCGTGTGCTGCAGGAAGAAGATCAGTCGGTTTGAAGTGACCGGTGCGCAGGGAGGGACGATGGATGGATGAGGGGAGGAAAGATCAGCGTGTGTGTTGTGTGTGGTGTGTGTGTGTGTGCCACAGGCATGTACGGCAACTTGCTTGTGAGCACTGACCGCGATCTCGACGACGACCGATACACGTACACGGTGTCGGCGGGCAGGAAAGGCCGCGGAGGTGACGATGCCGGCGAGGAGGATGCCCAGTTTGTCTTCGATGGCAAGCCGCTGCGCAACCACAGCGGTGAGCGATGCGCGACGATACGACACGCACAAGCATACCATACCAATACGCGCCCTTCGTGTGTGGTGTGGTGTGGAATGGGTGCAGGCATGATGAACGATGCACGGTGGACAGGCAAGGAAGTCAACGTGGTGGCGCACCAGGTATCGCTGTGGGGCATCCCCTACATGTGCCACATCGCCATCCGGGACATATTACCAGGAGAGGTACACACTCGCAACGCACAGACAGACAGACAGACAGACAGACACACACATTCACAATGCGTTTGTCGACGTATGTCTTTCTGCAGGAGCTGCTTGTAGACTACGGTGACAAGTATTGGGCTACCTTGGCGTTGCGCTTCGCCAGCGGGGAGAGGAAGGCCAAACAGGAGGTAAGCTACACTCACACTCACACCCACACGCACACCCGTGCCTCTGTGTTTCAGGTCCGTCAGCTGAAGGTGCAGCACGACATGGTGGTCTCATCTCTGACGGAGGAGATAGCAGCTCTCCAGCTACAGCTGGCCACCGGTACGCAAGAGAAGGACCACGCAATCATTCTACCCTCCGCCGTTCGTGTGTAGTTGTGTCAGCCAAGTCTGGTAGGAACCGCGAGCAGTCCCCCACCCCCTCCCCCTCCCCCTTCCCCGCCGCTCACCCCTTCCCCGCCCATGGCTACGCAGAGCCTCCCGACCCGGCCAGCGACGGACCTGCCGATGTTGCTGTGGAAGAGTCCCCTGCCGGCAGTGCTCCTGACATGGAGGTCGACAATGCTCGGGACATCGACCTAGACGTCGACCACGATGATGACCCGATGGCTGAGCCGGCCAACAGGTACAGCACGACGACAATGGGAAGGGGAGAGAGGGTCGATGGTGCACATATGCGTGGGTGATGTCTTGTGTCAGTCACGGTGGTGGTCACATGGCGGCGGCGGACGAGATGCTCGTTGGGGAACGGTCGGCCTCTCCCGACCCGGAGACCCCCGCGCCCCCGCCGCCACTCCATCCCCCGTCCCATACGCACGACATACCCTCCCGCCCCTCTCGAGGAGGGCCGAAGCATCGATTTGAGCCGTACTCAGTGAGGGAGGGGGGCAAGGGCACGGGACAGCCGGCCGTTGCTGCAGCAGCAGCAGCCGCTGCTGCCGAGTGGTCAGACAGCCAGCAGGGAGGGAGTAGTGGTGCTGCGGCTGGTGCTGGTGTCGGCCCACCACAAGACGAGCCACGTGGAGGTGCGGCCGATGCGGGTGCGGGTAGTGGTGTGGGTGTGGGTGTGGGTGTTCCTGCTCCGCTGGAAGTGATCGACCTGACGAAAGGAGGACAGAATGGGGTGCTTGGGCTGGATGGGGAGGGAGAGGGGATCCTTAAGGTTGTGCGCGAGTCAATAGTGATAGACGACGACTGATAGATAGCTGATCAGCCAGACAGCCATACCGGCGAGATGCGGGGGCGGGCGGCGGGGGGGGGGGGGG